TCACTGTGTATCCGAGTGGAAAGAGTCATTTCGTAGACAGTCACTGCTCAGTCACTCTCAGTATGATTCATGAAAAGTACAAAATCCGGAACGCGCTGTTGCCACATCATGTTCAAAGGGGTCTATCTAGAAGAGCCACTCCAATATCCTGACTTACCTCTTTGAGGGGTACTTTGAAGGCAATGAATCTTGTCCCAGGAATGACGCTGCCCACATTATTATAAGGGATCCACCTGCACATATGCATATAACAACATTACAGTAAACAGGGGAAAACAATGGAAAGTTTAAAGATGCAAATTTTAAAACTAATAATGGTGGATGAAAATTCATGAAGAGCAAAGCTGAAGAATACGTTTATGAAGCCGATAATAAAGGTAATAAAGTGAGGATCAGATTTGATGACAATGATTTAACATGGCGTAATGGCTGCATAGTGGTCAAGTCACACTCAATGTCTAATAAATATGATGTTTAGTGAAATCTTCTGCTGATCCAGGGAATTAAAAAATTGAAGTAGCCATTTAAACAAAATTGTAGTGGACCGGATAAATTGTCAAAAATCAAACTAAAATTAACCACATACTATTAGGTACGTAAAATTAAAGTAAGAAATAAGAGTCATGGTGTAGTTAAATGCCCAACAAAATTAATAGAAATATTGCGGTTTTATCGTTTTAAGTTTGTAAAAATAAACGTAAACATAACCAAAGACTCTCCTAATTTTTTTCAAGCTTGATTACACATCAATTTCCACAGCTTACTCACCTATCAGGTATACCACCACCCATTTTGTCGTTCTTTAACTACAGTACCAACATATATTTTCTTATAACAATAGAAACATTTCTAAAATAACATGCAATGTATGTATGAAATTTTGAACGTAAACACAATCTAATCCCATATTCCCAACCTCACAACACACGTGTATAAAAGGTTGGGAGTGATGCCAACCGTACAGTCACCCTAGTACTGAGAAAGACGTTACAACACGATTTATCTTCAAAAATACATGATTTTCACACTCAAAATACCATTAATAAATTTTAAGTTATCAGTTCTAGCATGTTTAGCTTTCAGTTCCTCAATTGAGAATATGCAATTCCAGTTTTTGTGATGGCTACTCATAATGAGCGCCTTTGAGAAGATTTTGAAGATTTTCAACCAACGAGGAGCCGATTGAGCTGCGTCCAGACAAGAGGGTTGCTTGGGTCGCTTGGGTCGCTTGGGTCTCTGAGCCGGCGCAGAAGCCACGTTTTGGTTCTCTGCGCAGACCTCAGAGACCCCACAGCGACCCAAACAACCCAAGCGACCCAAGCGACCCTCTTGTCTGGACGCAGCTTTGACCAATCACCACCTTTGTTTAGTTTTTCTTGTGTAGAGACGATGTTCTTGTTGTTTACAGTTGCCAGGGCAGTACATGTGAAATCAGAGGTTGTTTACAAGAGAATTTGTGGTCTTTCCCCATTTGAAGAAAATGATCACCGTTAAAAGCCAGCCACCTGTGGCCGGTGAAAACCTCCCCATTACTAGTTCTAATTGGATAGCTTACCTGTCATCTGCTCAAAAATCCTGCTTAGTTGAAAACGGTAAAGTTCTGTCAAGCTGTCATTTTATCTTTCTGGGAGCTATGATATCATTTATATCTTCTATATTCCTTCTTTTTCTGTCAGATTACTACAGTCAGTTACCTTATGTGGTTACAGACTGTTGCTAATATATAATATATTTGCTAAGCCTATAATTTGTGCTCATTTTCAGGTGTTCGGAAAGTTCATTATAACTTACCCGATGGAAAAGAAATGGTTGAAGAATATAACTTACAAACAAATGTTCTGCAGCGACGTATGTGGAAAGTTTCTGATACTGTAAGAGGAGAAAAGTGGAATGTAGAGGTTGGCGACCAACTACCTCAATTTGACAACATTGATTCAGTCGGGATACAGGAAAATTCCACTGCTGTAAGTTTATGACTCAATGCAATCAAAGCTAGAGTGGTTGATTGTATAACCATAATACAAATTGCCTTTTGGTGTTTTGTTTTGTTTCTCTAGCCGATGCTGTCAAAGCGAATTACTAAAACTAATATTGAATGGAGGATAAGGAATCTTCCATATGCTCGTGATGTGTATTCAGTGACTGCAGATGATGATGGTATTACTGTACGAACATCAAACAAGAAGTACTTCAAAAAGATAACTGTGCCAGAGTTAAACAGAGTAGGGTTGCAAACTGATGGTTCATTGCTGAGCTTTACCCATCAATTCAATACTCTTATTATTACAGTAAGTAATGTCAGTTGAGCCATTAATACTTGTTTCTTGAGTGTCATTTTTTATTTGGCAAATAAAATGTGCCCTTTTTTTCTTGCAGTACAAGAAACCTCCAAAGGTCTTGGAAATGGAAGCAAAAGTGTTAGAGATGGTGAAAACAATCTCTCCTACTAAAATACCTGATATAAAAAATGCCCCTGATCAGTGTAAACCTAGTTAAGTGCAATGCTCCTACTTCATAATTTATTGCCCAAAACCACATTGTTTCTCATGCCAGATTTGTCAACATTGTAAATATTTTTAAAATACTGAAACACCCTCTGTGAAATAATAATATACCACATGTATAAAATATAGCTGACTTTTATTTATCACCATAGCTGAGGATTCATCAAAAGGAACCCCTCAGACACATGCATTTAAAATAAAGGAAAGGAACAATGACATACTAGGTAAAAATAATGAAAACAGCACTGTAACAGTTATGCACTATTTCTAATCATCAAAGGAAACATTTGGCAAATTACTTTGGAAGAGACAATAAAACTCTGGAACTAACCAGCTCTGCCATTTAAAGACACCATAATTTTACCCCAACCACCCAAAAAAATATTTAAAGTACTGGTGTGCTACAGTATCTTTTTTTTAATTAAGTACAAACTAGCTTTTGAGAGTAGCTGCAACAGAACATCTCTTGTATCCTGCATGACATTGCTCTATCCCCAAAGACAGTATTCCTGCATCTTTCATCAATCATGTACGTAACAAGATTTTTGAATCAACTCGTTACCAGCTCATGCCTGGAATAAGTGGTGAGAGACCCTTCTGATCAATGACAATACTAGAATAATTTTGTTTATAAAATTGAATAGTTTACAAGCTAAATGAAAAAATACACTCATCAATTTTGAAATCAGTAGTTCCAAGAAGCTACAGGTATCACCCACTAGCACCAGACATTCTAAGAATGTTCTTCTAGTTCCCTTAACATTCAGGGAACATTAAAAATGATCTGTGCTACCAGGGTATGTGTGCTTATTTCCCTTAAATTAAGAGAAGGCCACAGTACTCCAATTCTTTGAAATTACATATGGTACTGAGAGAATACCATCAATGTAGGCAACAAGATAACATTTCATTCATTAGTGATGTCCAGAGAGGTTGAGAGTGAAGCAAGCAAACGTGTGTGTCGAACAAAATATTTAAAAATTTGAAATACAAAATAAGTGTGCTCACACTACCCAACCCCCCTCGCCACACAGCCCACCCAATCACATAAGATAACAGGAACATAATTAAGTGCAAGAAAACTGATTCCATAACGGGTCTTAAAGATTATAGCAAAGTAATAGTAACAAATCACAATACAAAAAGAGACAAAGCAAGTTCACAACAACAACAAACAGTTTCCTCTCAAGAAACACTGTTTTTGTAAAGAGAATACAACTAACTATCATTTCATAAGACTACATCACATATCATATCAACCATCCATGAGGCTCTTTCAAAATAATAATTTATAATGAATGCATTAAGATTAACAACAAAATTTGCTCTGAACAATATAAGGAATGGATACCATTTAATTTTCTCTTGTAAGTTATTAATTCTAAAAAAATGAATTAAAAAAAAAATCATCACAATTTTTGAACTGTAGAACCATGACACAGAATATTGCACAATCCAATATTGGCCTATGAGCCTTTTGAAAATATGGGAACAGGGAAAAAAGGAGAGAGTGAATGTGTGTTTTTAACAACGACATTGGAAGATTAAAACTAACATTAGAGTCAGACACAATTTCAAAATTTAAATTGTAATATCCTTATTGAGTATTGAGAATGACGACTAGCTCTCATAAACCAGTCACTATCGGTCAGTAAGATAATTATTTTGTGCTCAGAATACTGATTGATGCTATATCTGTTCAAAGAAACCATCTTGTAGGTTCACTACTGCTTAGTATATACAATCAATCAAAAGTTTAAATATTTTCTTAGATCCACTAAGTGCAAATATCAAGGTTTCTGGTTTGAAGAGGAGATGGCTTTTCGTGGGGCAGCAACCACAGGTGGCCTCCTTGTATTTGGCACAGTGTCTATAGCAGTTCCAGTCTTTCGGTGGTTTCCTTTCACCAAGGGAATACTTGATGGAGATGGGGTGTCTCCAGAAGATCCCATACCAAGCCGGCCTGGTCCAATACTCCTGCTGTTTCGCGATGCAATTGTAGGTACTCTGGAGGTGGAAGATGTTCTACTTTCAATTACTGGATTCCCATTCCCTCCACTTGCAGGTGTTCTGCTCCGTCGGCCCCAGGTATCAGTCCAACTGCAACAAAAACAGAGCCTTGAAAATATTACAGTTACAAATATAATAAAGGAGACACACGAAGTTGAAACACTGACAACACTACTATCCCCGACAGGATTACTCACTCCATAAGCCTAACAGCAGCAGCATGAAAAAGAGTCAAAAGTTCATTAGCTCCAGTCATACTGACCTGCCGCCCTTTCTATGTATGTCTACATTCTACTATAAGAGAGTTTTTACTCTGTATAAAATCTAATCAAAGCTAAAAATACTCTGTTGTGTTTACATTAATATAGAAAGGGGCCATTAACAGCCTGTTATTTTAACACATTGCCTCACACTGGTTCTTTTCCAGCACCATGACTACATTATAGCCATACTACAATCAATTATTGGACTATCATGCAACCGTTTAAATTTTACAAAGAGCTAATTCAGACAAATAGATTTATCCAAAAGTTAAGCGCACTAAGAAGAAATATTCCCAAAAAATAATCCACACACTCTACCTTCCCAATCCGAAAGCTGCATAGGAAGGAGCAAAGTGTTTCAGATTGAGGGGTCTCTCATAGTTTCATTAATCATGAAGATGGTCTAAAATTGACCAATCTTACCTGACAAGTGGGACTCCATTTGAGTCGGAGGGGAGGGACTGCAGCAATGAGGGCCCTGCCGACACTGGCCTTATCCTCTCCGTTTGAGTGGCAGCGTTGCACATGTCAGCAGGCTGACCATTTTCACCAGTATCTTCGGATACACGTTCATACTTCATCATTTGTAGCTGCATCAATTGAATTGTGCGATCTTTCTCTTCCATTTGCTGTTTCATCAGCACCATCTGTTGAACAAATTCATGATTGTTAATAATTAATTGACCAAATTTATTTGTGAAAGCCAATTAAGTGTTAATGCTTACCTGTCTCTTGAGATCAACAACTTCTTCGCCTGGGTTACGGGTTCTACCATCATCATCTTCACCAGACTCATCGGCATGAACAAGTTGATGTAAAAGTCCATTCTGAAATATTGAGAGGAGATTACTAAATCACAGACAACAAAGTCACTTTTACGAAACTTATGTTAAAAGAGTGAACAAAGAGGATACCTTTAGAGAGCTCTCAAATGGATTCAAGGTTTCTGCCTGCAACGACAATAAAATTAACTGATTATGTTCATCCTACACAAGTGAGCTTTGTAAATTCATTCCGTCCATATTCTTGAGTATAGCAGACATTACCTCTTGGAGCACTCTCTTCAGTTTTAGTAGCATGGTCTTGATGTGAACCACGTCTTGGTACATGTGTTGGTACGTGCCCCGATCCACGCGCATCATCGCAGACTCATCGCTGTCAGAGCTCGCCAACTGCGTCATTTCCAAAGACGAATATTAGAAATAGAAACAAGTCAAGCAATATAAACTCCACCTCCAAATTAAATTAAATGACCAACATTGAACAGGCCCAAGAGTCAAAGTGGAGAGGCCAAAGTCAAAATTATTTCGCTTGTTTGAGTTCCAACTACCTGAAACAATCCTTTCGAGGAGTCACTCCAGGTGCCCGAAATTCGACTCTGACCTCAAGCTTAGCTGGCGCCACTTTGGTGGTTCTCAGGCCGGTGCTCGCGGGTGTCACTCGATACGCACCTGTCTCGGTGGCCGCAGAGGGCTGGGTACGCCGCTGGAGCCCAGGCTGAGGCGCGGGCTGTCCGGGGCCGAGCTGGGCCCGCTGCTGGCGGGGGCCTGGACCTGGCTCAGGGCCCGGGGCTGCGCGGGCTGCGAGTGCCGCACCAGGAGCGAGGAGCTGCAACATAAAGGTCCGGGATGAGTCATGATATGCGAACAACACACGAAAAAAGGACGTCAATCTAGTTTGGTCCCTCCCAACCCTCCCCCTCCCTCCCCAGAAGACAAGTTCTGGACGTCAGACGGTCTAAGTGGGCCTCGTCGCTGCCGCTGCCGCGGGCGGCGCGCTCTCACCGGCCTCCTCCTCCACCTCCTCCGCCTCCAACAACCGCCTCTCTTTGTCTCTTTTCCTACAAGGGCAAGGACAGCGGCGGCGGCGACGGCGCAGGAATGCGCCCGCTTGCACGGCAGAGCCTGGCGGAGCCTCTGGCGGAGCCCACCCGGCCGCCGCTCCTCCAGGACACTCGCCCCGCCCGGCCAGCCCGGCCCTGCGCTCCGCGGCTTCCGACACGCCAATCCGGTCATCATCACGGCAACTCCAGGAGGAGGAGCTGCCACTGGAGAGTCCAGCACGACAGCTGATCGCGGTGGTGGCGTTTGCGGCGGCGGCGCAGACAGTGGCGCCCTGTGCCCTACCTCCTCGTGCCGCCGGCCCGAGCCTGGCCGGGGCGCCTGGCGGGTAGGCAACGCGGGCGCACGCGAGCGTCACGGGACTGCATCCCGACAAGAGTCCGTCGTCGCCGGCGTCGTCGTCTCGGAAGCAAGCTACCAAAGCCCGTGTGGAGCTCTCCGACGGCAGGGCCACCACTACTGGGGCACGCCACAGCGGTGCGGCGCGGTGGGCCGGGCGGGCCGGGCGCGGCTAGGCGAGCAGGTGACCAGCAGGGGCCTTACCACCACATGACCCTGGGGCCGGCGCGGGCCTGCTCCATACACGGCGGTGCGGGCGCTGCTGCTGCTGCAGATGGCCCGGGTCGTCAGCTCCCAGCTCCGCAGCGACTGCCTACGCACGGCCAGCCGCACCGGCCGCGGCCCCCGACTGCACAAGGAGAGCGGCCAGCGCGGCCGGCACCGCCGGGCGCGGGCGGGCATGGCAGCGACTCCGCGGAGCGAGCCGATTCGGGTCTAGAAATCAAACCGACTGCGAACAAACGGGTTTACCCCGAGGGGCCGGTCCCGGTCAGCTAGGCGTGGGCA